AGGGTTACAACTCCCATTGTGGTTTAAGGGAATGGAGCACTATATACTTGTTCAAAAGGGTTACAACTCCCATTGTGTTTAAGGGAATGGAGCACTATATACTTGTTCGAAAAGGGTTACAACTCCCATTGTGTTTAAGGGAATTGAGCACTATATACTTGTTCGAAAAGGGTTACAACTCCCATTGTGTTTAAGGGAATGGAGCACTATATACTTGTTCGAAAAGGGTTACAATTCCTATTGTGTTTAAGGGAATGGAGCACTATATACTTGTTCGAAAAGGGTTAAAACTCAAATTGTGTTTAAGGGAATGGAGCACTATATACTTGTTCGAAAAGGGTTAAAACTCAAATTGTGTTTAAGGGAATGGAGCACTATATACTTGTTCGAAAAGGGTTAAAACTCTCAGTGTGTTTGTCATTCACGCCACTTTTTGTTTTATTAACAAAAGTAAGGGAAACATACTTCACGTATTTCTAAGCCTCTAAATAATCGGTGTTTCTAGAGAAATTGTTATTAAAAGTCAAGGAATTCTTCAGCGTCACCTTTTGTGAGAAAGTCGAGAAATATCAAAGGGAGTGACCATTGATGATATGATACTAGCACAATAATAAGGTCACTGCATTCCAAAGCCGGCTATCTACACACTATACATTGAACGCGTACGCCTAAACGCGTGTATGTGCGAAAATGTTCACTTTTCTATTCTAAAAAAGAAAAAAAATTAATACCTGGAATATTTTTATAACACAAGTCCAACTTCCAGATCACAAATCCATGTCAGAATACGATCACACGTCCCACATTATATACTTTCAGTATCAAACGGCCACAGATTAAAGACCCTCTTCTGCAAGCGAACACAAGTCTCAGATTAAATAACCTTCTCATCTTACGACCACAAGTAAAGAAATATAAAATCTCATCATCATACGACCACAAACCCCAGATTAAGAACTAATTCCAACGTATATTCCCAAATTACAAGTCATATTCAACATACGACCATAAGCCCAGATTAAAACTCCCTTCAATAGCCACAAAACCCAGGTTATAAATCCTTCTCAGCATAGATTCTCAAGCCCCAGTTATAAACCCACGTCATCATTCAACTACAAATTCATAATTATAAATCTTCTGAGAATGCTACCGCAAACCATAGATTATAAGCCCTCTTTATCAAACGACTTCGGCATTTTATTTTGACTGATTATTTGTTTCCCGACAAGGTAGTAAACTTTCAGTTTAAAGATTTCAGGGTTATCTAGGTGGATGAGCAACCAGTTATCATACCTAGATTCCATGCCTCCAGTAGCCATTGTTATTGTGCTGTGTATCCTGACGGCAACCTTGACAGAAGTCGTAAGCAACGTAGTATCAGCGACAATTCTGCTACCCGTTATCAAACAGCTCGTAAGTGACGTATGTTTATCCCAAAAATCGTTTTAGCTAATTATGCATGATGGAAATGTGAAAAGCACTAACTATTACAAATACTTACACTATATACAAATATATATATGGTTGGTAAAGACTTCTAACTTCCTACTCTTACAGTGAGATACTCATTAATATCATGAATAAATGTTGAATATACAGGACGTCCACAAAGTCCTGTTCCGATTTTAAAAGTATATTAGAACAAAACCAAAAGAGCTAGAATTATGCAGTTTTAGCACCTTGTTGCTTAACTAATGATGTTTTTTTTTCTTGATTTACCGATTGTAACCGGAGTATCCAGTTGCTAATGTTTGATGTTTGAACTAAGAAGGCGACTACACAGAGAAAGCTCAATGTGTGTATTTAATACACGTAAATATTCAATCTCTTGTGTAGGACTTTGTGTACCGTTGATCTTGGTAGCTGGAGTTCACTTGAAGCACGACGAAAATACTTTCTAGGGTTGCGTTGAAACGTCTCCTGGACATTAGCAACGGTTTCTTCAGAAACACCTGGACGTCCACTTCACACTTTCTGTCCCCGAAACTTGTGAAACCACCTCCTAATGCTGGATTTGTAGGGAAGATTCTTGCCATATTGACGGCGGTAAATCTGTTGAAGTGTTGTCACTGATCATCTCGACTCTGCAAACCAGATGACATATTGAGTTTCCTCCTGTGTAGTCGCCATCTTCGTACAAAATTCAATCATTAGCAACTGGATACTCCGATTAAAATCTGTAAATCAAAAAATACTTCATTAGCTAATCAATAAAGTGCTAGAAACTACATGATTCTAGCTAATTTGGTTTTATTGTGATAAACTTTTAAAACCGGAACAGGACTTTTTGGACACCCTGTACAATTTTTAAAGTAATATTCCGACAACCTTTGATTTATAGCACGTGGCATCATATAAAAAAGTAACTTTTTTTTAAGATTTAAAATATTTATAATATTAAGACAATTTGTAATCTGACTTTATAATTTATGAGTATGCTAGTGACAAAATTATTTAGATGTAACTGTGGATGTAGTTGGTTGTGTGGGCCATATAACGCTAAACTCCGAGGCTATATATGCGTCCTGTGGATATGAAATATCTGTCGAAAATATGTTTCGTTGTTATTCTTTTCATGAGCTTTAACTTATAGTGTGAGCTAATTGATTTTTGATTTAGTTAACAATTGTTTACTTTTAAATTTAATTAGCAACGCACAGGAAATCTTCATAGGATTTTGCCAAAGTTTCTAGAAATATTTTGTTATTTTTCTCAATGACGTGATTTTGTATTAAACATTGCATGTAAAAATAAATGACTTTAATAAATTTAGTCTCACTTAGGGCCTAACATTGCCTGGTGGTTAGGGTGCTCGACTCGCAATCTGTGTGTTTCGGGATCGAATCCCATCCCACACAACATGCTCGCCCTTTCAACCTTGGAGGTTTCATAATGGGACTGTCAATCCCACAATTCGTTGGTAAATAGTGGCCCAAAAGTTTGTTATAGGGAGCATTCATGAGTTGCCTTCTCTCTCACTTCACTTCACTCATATCACTTCAAAATTAGAGACAGCTAGCGAAGATATCCCACGAGTAGCAATGCGCGAAACTCAACAAACTAAGTTTCAGTTATGTAAAAATGAAATTGTACAAGCATGTTTCCTACCTTCAGAAAAGAGTTTTACGATGCATAAAGCCTCCAAAGTTGTAGTACAAAGATATCATTACCCCGTTAGCAACAAATGTAGAGGGAGTTGTTAAAAAATCGTCTTATATTATAGCAATTTAATAAGTAATGAAGTAACCAAACTGAAATGCTTTTATTTTGGTTTAGAGTTTGGCCTTAAAAGTTCACCCCCTGTACTTGATGTTACCAGTAACGATTTCTTGCTCTTTCGCCTTCATGCTTCCGGTTGCAACAGCACCTAATACCATGGTGTTCGAAATTGCTAGAATGAAAACTTTGGATATGGTAAGCAACAGACAGAGAGACGAAGGTTTTCAGTTACTTTACGTTTCGTCTGTCTTTATCAATTTATTTGTTTATTTTTTAAAGTTATCAGTGTAAATAATTAAGCAATTTCTTATCACGTCACGAATGTGATATAGATATAGCAACAGATATAGATTCTATGTTTTCACTATCGACTAGACTGGTAAGAACTATGTTATAAGGAAAACTAATTGATTTCCATTAAAACTGGCCCGGCATGGCCAGGTGGTAAGGGCGTTCGACTCGCAATCTGCGAGTCGTGGGTTCGAATCCCCGTCCCACCAAACATGTTCGCCCTTTCAGCCGTTGGGGCGTTATAATGTAACGGTCAATCCCACTATTCGGTTCGCGGTGGGTGGTGATGACTAGCTGCCTTCCCTCTAGTCTTACACTGCTAAATTAGGGACGGCTAGCGCACATAACCCTCGTGTAGCTTTGCGTGAAATTCAAAACAAACCATTAAACTGTATATGCACAGACTAAGATAACTGGTGAAAACATATTTTACATTTCTCTTACTCATGCCTGCAGTGTATAACCATGTTATAATAACGCTATTCTTTATTCTATGTGTACTTGTTTTTAATCAGAAATAAAATAATAAAGACTTGATCTATCACATGTTTTTGCTTAACCCACTGGATTTTAGAAATTTCATTTCGTATTCCACGCTTCCGTCTCAAGTGACCTCGGAAAACATAATTTTAAGATAACACAATCTCGAATAAAATACTAAGTTAGAAGGTATTTCTGAACAGTTTCATGCGAAGATAAATGCTTTTTGTCTTTTTACAGTAATTTATAATTTGTGTCTTTTATAATTCAAAGCAGTTAATATACTCCACTTGTCTTCAGGAACCATTATGGTGATAAAATTATAAAAGTGCTAATTTATCTTATGTTTTACCTTGCAGGTCAAACCCGGTTTCTTCTTGAACATTCTGTGTATATGTATTCAAACTATGATGATCCACACGCTAGGTGACGCACTGTTTCATTTCAATACGATTCCTTATTGGATGAACGTGAATACAACCCTTACTACTACGTTTAGCTCCGTGTTACCAGAAGCTGTGGATAATCTGACGATCCATAGAATTACAGCAATATCGTTTCTAAATATGACGTCAACGTAAAAGTTGCCTGGCATCGTGCTGTTCTCCATCAAATCACTGATTGAACATAATCGGTTGTTCTTGACATTATCTTTTCGACTTTAATATAATGAGCTATTTCCAAGATAACGTATCAGCCATGTCTTGGTTGTCTTCACAAACTACCAATACTTCTGACTAATCTTTGGTCAGGCTGAAACGTCAAATTGATAATTTTTTAACTCTTCTAAATTCACAAAAAAATATATTAAATTTACTATGGAATATTGTGAAAACGAAAAATTGAATTTTAGACTTAAATATTGGCACAAGTAACGGCATACATACCATCAAAATTTCAGAAAAGCAATTTATAATGACACCATCATATATACTTTCTCAAGACATCCAACGTCTCACAAACCTGCTGTTGTCTATAGTTTGTTACACAGGCATATAACCGTATCCTTGTCATCTGAAGATTATGTAACTGAATTAAAAAAAAGAAAAAAAAGAAAGAATTGCTATCAATAATGGTTATACAGCTAATTTAATCGACATGTTGTTGTTTAAAAATTAAAAGCCATTAAATTATAATCATATACTGTACCAAAAGATAATAAAAAAGGAATGGTGTATGATAAGATACATTGGGAAATCTCACAAAATATAAGACAATGAACAAAAAACTATACAATTGCGTTCTACTGTGCAAACAAACAAACAATTTGGGCAAAACATTGTATAACAACAGGAACAAAATCGAAAAAATACAATCACAATGGTGTTTATCATTTAACACATCAAGACTGCAGTAGTGTATATGTAGGTCAGACAGGACGTTCCATAGAAACAACAATTAATGAACGTTCAAGAAGTTGAAAATTGGGAAAAATGGACTCCACTTTTTCATCCCACCTTAAGGAAACTAACCATCATTCGAATAAAATTTTTCAAATTTTACATGTTTGCAAAAATAGTAAAACATTAAATAACCTGGAAATTTTAGAAATAAATAACAGTATAAAAATGAATTCAGACAATGTTCTATACGACCAAATTAATTTAATCTCCTCCCCACTTCTCAGTTCGTGTTGTTGTTGTTTAATAAACTCTCGTAGTTCACTGTCTTTTAACCCAAGACAAACCATTTATCAAAATCTGACATGGTTATATAGTGTAATTGTAATCTCTACACTATTTTCACTACCACAACAGTTGTGCACATATAGGCTTAGTTGTTTCTACTCTTGTTCACGTCTTTTTCTATCGCCGTTTACTACTGTATAATCATAGGTTCTTGGCTCTTTTTATTCTTTTTTTATGTGGTTTTTCGCTAGCTTGCCTCACAAAAAGGTGCGCACGCATGTGGATAAGTAATAATACCCAAATGCACACCTTTGGAGTCCACTTAGTATGTGTTCCCAATTTCACATTTCTAGGTTCTTTCCTCTTGGAACTATGGCGGTCACACACACACACAGACAAACAGAACGCCCTTTTATTAACATATATAGATAGATAGTTGGAACCTTTCCCGGTTAACTTAATATTAAACCCAGTTTGAAAACGGGTATTACGAATGAGTAGTGCAAGTCGAGAAAACCCCGTGAAACCAGTTTTCAGCAATATTTAGTGATAAGAGTAGGGGGAAGAACAATAAGATGGTTAAGTTCGTGTGTTAATTGACATAATAACTGCAATGGTACATTAAGTATTTTGAAAGTACTTTTCCCATGCTTTTTGAATGACGGCGGTTTCTTCTTGATTCTTACACAGCGACACCTTGTTCATTCTTGACTTTTGTACAATAGTATATATATATATATAGGTTTACGTTCTTTATTTATATTATAAACAATGTGACGTCTGTTTTCATTATTATTTTTCAAATAATGAACGCTGTTTCCATAGTCGGAGCAATGACGGCTGTTTCAGTTGTTGTCATTTGAACAGTGAATGCTGTTTCCATTGTTGTATTTTGAACAACGATAGCTGTTTCCTTACACGTTCATATAATTATTGGCATTCATGAACAATGTTGTTCAAATATTAAATTAATGAAGTCATTGTCATTTGTCATAAATTTTAATTGGCTGAAAAACTGAAAATATTCTAGTATAATTCTAACAAACTGTGACAATGCTATAGTTTAAATCTCACGACATAAGTTTGTTACTCAAGATAAATTCATATATTTATTTGCTTTTCTATTAATAAAATGTATAAAAGAACAACAGTAATTCTCGTCGAACACATAACAAATTGTTCCAGACATCCTGTTCTAAAAAGATTTAAAGCTGCTATTTACTATCACAAAACAACTGTGATGTTCAAACATGGATTAAGGAAAAAAAAACAGTGTTACAGTTAAATAAATGACCTCGTAGCTTTGCTGAAAATAGTAGATTAATCATGTGATTGTTTAGAATTGTATGTTACCTCAAAGTCACTGGTGAGAACTGTACTGACCTCAGAGTCACTGTTAAGATCGTAGATTACCTCAGAGTCATTTGTTAGAATTGTAATAACCTCAGAGTAATTCTTAAGACTTATAGTGACCTCAGAGTTGTTGTTAAGAATTGTATGGCCTCACAGTCTCTATTAAGAATCGTAATGACCTCAGAGTCACTGTTAAGAATTGTAATGACCTCAGAGTCACTGTTAAGAGTAATAATGGTCTCAGAATCCCTGCCTAGAATCCTGATAACCTCAGTCACTGTTAAGGGTTGTAATAACCTCAGAGTCAAGAGTTTTCACGTTTTCAGGGTCACAGTTAAAAATCGTAGTGACCTTAGAATCGCTGTTAAGAATCATGATAACTTCAGAATCGCTGTTAAGAATCATGATAACTTCAGAATCGCTGTTAAGAATCATGATAACTTCAGAATCACTGTTAAGAATTGGTATGACCTCAGAGTCACTGTTGAGAATCATAATAACCTCGGGGTCGCTGTTAAGAATTGTAATGACCTCAGAGTCACTGATAAGAATCATAATAACCTCAGGGTCACTGTTAACAATCTTACTGATCTCAGAGTCACTGCTAAGAGTGGTAATGAGTTCAGAGTCGCCGTGAAAAATCGTAATGATTTCACTAATAAAATAGTAATAACATTGCAGTCTCTGTTATGAGTTTTTATGATTTCAGGGTCGCTGTTAAGGCTTTTAATTACCTCAGAGTCACTGCTAAGAGCCGTAACGACCTCAGATTCTTTGTTAAGAGTTGTAATGATCTGAGAGTCCCTGTTAAGAGTCGTAATGAACATACTAATATTATTGACAATCAATGGAGTTACTAAATGAGAATAATTACAAATCTAAGTAATACTATCAAGTACAATACACGATTGTTGTTGACGGAAGCGAAAGAGTTTTGAATTGGTTTTTAAGCAATTTTATATAACGAGTCCAAAGAACAGTATTATTTGATAGGGCTTCGAGTTTTAGTTAACCATGCTTTAGAGATATGTTGTTTAGAAACACAATTTCTAGTAACAGCAATAGATATCAGTGTTCTGAAAATGTTCAAGCGTTATTACGTGTTAATTATTGTCACGTGGTGGTAACGTTAAATTTAGCGGGAAGAGAACTGGCGAGTAAAGGAGGTACATTTGCGCTAGTTGAGGTGGAGTTCACGAACAGCAACACACTGGTGATATCTATTATAGAGGTACTGCTGGCCCAATCTGTTTTGTTTGTAATTAAACACAAAGCTATACAATGGGCTATCTATGATCTGCCCACCACAGGTATCGAAACCCGGATTCTAGCGTTGTAAGTCCGCAGACATACCGCTGTGCCACTGGGGGGGGGGGCAATCTGGGAAAGTGTTAAAGTCAAACAGTACCACATCTAAAATGTTGATCAATACAAGCTGAATACAAATCGAAAGAATATTCATGAAAATCCCAGGTTTCACATGAAAAAAAACAACATAAAAATATTCACTATTGTTAAAAAATAGCAAGATGTATATCTTTTTATTATAACTAAAATCCATCAGTTACAGGAAAGTTTTAATATATTTTTCTGAATACGTTTGTATAGACAGATTGATAAAAAAAGAAAATTATTTTCTTACTAAAATAAAAAAAACAAAGAAAATCTCAGGTGATACGCAAGGCTTACCATGGTAGCAACAGGCAGCATATAAAGGCAAAGAAACATGTAATTGTTACTGATAGCACCATATAAAATCAACACAGACGATTTGCGTTTTATCGCTTTATTCTATAATAAACTCAATAAAATAACTTAACCTGGACTTGTGACATTATGATATCGTAATATGAGAGTTAGCAACCTCTATCATATCAACACAATTTCATATATTCGAACTTTTGTCTCTCAATGTGATCACGTATTTTTATTAATGTGCATCATCTTCTCAAAATAGTCATATTTTTATTTACTAACGCCCTCTGTTTTATCAGCCTAAAATCATTTATATGTTAATACTCTCAAAATTATCAATACAAACCCTTGTAAGTAATAAAACCGTCTGTCTTAATAGCATATGTATATCAATACCTCTGATTTATCACTATATTACTTTTCAACATGATCGTTTCTGATGACTTACAAGTTGTTTAATAACAGATAGCAGCACTGTCGCCGTTGTTGTGTTACTTGCAATTCATGTCAAGGCTGCTGTCATAACATACAGTACTGATACAAATGTTGGTGATAGAAATTTCAGAGAAGTCAACTGACTGACCTGATCTGTTACATATGTTCATAACAATATACACGAATTATTCATAACAATATACATGAAATATTCATAACAATATACATGAATTATTCAAAAGCATTTATTAAGCGTTATTATGGCAGTGTCGAGTAAAAATATTAAAAAAAAACATCTTGAAATTAAATATTAAGGTATGTAATTGTATATTCTCATTGAATGTGTTGCGTTAGTATCAACTTGCTTTAATAAAGTATTGTATGTATAACTGGTAAGCGTAGCTTTAAAATTTCTGAGTACTAAACAGAGCAGTATTGAGATATTTTGTAGTATGGTGTTACTTTTGTATTATCATACCTCTGATCCTTTAGCTAAGGCAAACCCTCCTGTCAGCAGTACGAAAACAACTCAAGGCATCTAGGTCTGAGCAGTTTCCCAACTAGTAATGGAGGGCTGAAGCTTAGTTAGTGGGGGTTAGCTGGAATAACAAGTAGCAGCACACTGATTCCTATTTTTGGAGTGGCGTCATCAATCGGTCTGGATGGAAAGGAATATGCACCACGTTAGAGATTTAGTAAAATTTCATAAATATATCTGGAAATTTCAGTGATAATCTTACTATTCCACTATGGTTTCTCGTACTTTACAAGAACGATCTGCATATTCTGATACAGTGACTTACCACAGTTGAAAGTGTGACAACATTGGCTACATGTTTAGAACTTATACATTTATCTCACTATAAATTCCCGACAATATTACAGTATAATGCTTTCAGAGTAATAAAGGCTAGGCTATAATGTCACAGGTATTTCCGAAGGAGGACATTCATATAACATGATTGATATATGATGCAAAGCCAACGTCACAGCATTTCGAAGGAGGGAGCCTTCCATATTCTTCATGGAAGTGAAGAAAGCAGCGAGCTCCTAAGCCTTACATACTAAGTCAATCCGCAGTAACACCTTTATCTGCAAATCAATAGCTATGATTATAAAAGGAAACTTTTAACCCAGAACACCGTAGCAATGTAGGTGCTGGTATATCTCCGGGTATCATTAACAAGAGGACAAACAAGGACTGAAACTTGATGTAGACTCTCAAATCTCCAGCTACACTTTGAAATTAATGGCTATTTGCATGAGAAAGATGGCGGAAGAAAAGTGAGTCGTCACAATCCCATACATGATATGTTTCTTGATTGAGCGTCAATGAACTTTCATGCCTTTGACCTCCTCATACGTGGTTTCGTAAGATGGTGTCCACGTGC